GAAAGATACTTATGTGAAAATAAATGCAAGAGAAATAACAAACCAATAAAACACAACACTAGTTTTAGAGTTTAAGGTATCATGTGAAGGTGATTGAAACAGAAACATGCACATGATGGAGGAAGATAAGATGAGCTAAGCTTGTAGTGTGGAAGAGGAAAATTCTGCTACTGTAAGTGACTGAGGAAAGTTAGAGAGGAGAGTACTACACAGAAGGTTATTTAGCAGTGCCATTTGTGTGTACTTCCATCTGCTTTGCCTGTAGTTGCTGTCCATATCCTCTTTCATCTGCTTTGCATCTGTCTGTCTTTCACTTACTCTGTGCTTGACTGTTCTTTAACTGCACCATACTGAAGATCACTGATCTCCCGAACTGGCTAATTTATCTTCAATCTTCTGGTTCATTGTTTTGGTTTCTTGACTCACAGATTTATATTCAGTCATATTAATCCACCCACCTTTGATTCCAGCAGCTATTTAAAGTATTTAGCTGTCAGTCAGATATTTCTCCTAGGAGTCTTCCCAAACATGCTTCCAATGAAATCCTGAGGTTGTTCACTGAACTTAGAATAGTAAAGTCTCTGTTAACCATAGTGGTTTAATTGCTTAATAAAGAAATAACAGTCATGTGCTGCTGCATGGCTTATTAAACATGATGTGTACTCAAGCAGCTGCAGGTCAAAGAAAAAGGTTAGAGATGTGCTGCCTGAAAATCAATGGATACTGCAGAGAGGGGGAGGAAGAGCAGAATTTGAAGAGGAGTAGGCATCTGTTCAACCTGGCATCTGTTCAGCAGCAGGGCAGGTACACGCACCAACGTGAAACTAAAGAAGAAAGGATGTGTGAGTGGCAGTGCTGAGGTGCTGATGAGAAGGTGTTGGTGCAGTATTAAAGTGCCCGAGGTAGAAAAATATGTAAAGTTAATGAGGTTATTAAAAAACAAAGAAAAAAAAAAAAGATGAGACATGGCTCCAATCCTGGATTCTCTTCATGGCTCCCTGTTAAATCCAAGGGAGTTTTTATATCCTGCTGTCTACCAAGCGCTTTCTCAAAGGAAATGATGTGAATGTTGGGATTTTCTCCCTATTATTGTAAACTTACTGCAAAATTATTCTTTACCTTACAATAAAAAGTACCTTGGGGTGAATGTTGTGTGTTGGCACGATATAAATAAAATTTATTTGAACTTAAAGCTGAAGTGAATTGAAGTGATCATCTGGGAGGTGAGGCCGAAGAGCTATTGTGCCATTGTGCCAATGAAACAAAACCCAGTAAAACGGTAACCCAACTATTCCAAGTCTTGATGCATCCTCAACCATCCAGATAAGGAAATCCTAGAAAGTTTATTCTGTTCATCTGGGAGAAATATTTCACTCATCCAAGCGATGTTGAGATAATTACAATCAACTTTTTGTGGCACACTACTCCACATTCCTGTTACCTCACAGGTAGTGCTACAAGTTAATCAACACTTAAGCTGACGAAGCATGAGCAGAAAGGATGAAACATTACTTTACCAACTCTTCCTCCTGTGGTTCTGTCACTATTATAAATGCAACACATTTGTTTTCTTGTTTTGCAACACAAAAAGCTTCTGCTTTACAAAAACAAAAAACAAACAAACTACACCCTGATGTTTATTGCCCTTGTTTTGGATACTGAAAGCTTGATGCATACAGCTTGATTTCAAACTGCTCATATGCAAAGGTGATCAAAGATCTCTTCCCCAGTTTCCCTCTGCTTACCACTGATCAAATAACAGAGCTTTATCAGACTGTGCCACGCCTCCTGATGTTTCATACTGTTTCATGTGGAAAGATATAGTAAAATCCAATTCATTTGTCATCCTGGTACAGGAACAAAGCTGTAAATAACACTTGTAAAACGTGCTATATTTCTTAGAGACTCAGCACTGGGAATAAAGGCAATCTGTCATCTGTTATACCCGTTAGCTGCAATAGCAATTGGATCCCATGATAACCTACAGCCAAGGCAACCTGCTTTGTCACTATGGCTTTCAGTAAAGTTCTCCAATTTCCTGGTAGTGATGTAAGAGCTCTCTGGGTGCCTGGCTGGCACCGTCTTTCCGATTTAAAGCTATAGACGTGAGGAAGCTGCTCTGTGATGATGACCTCAGGATATTTTCTTTAATGATTCGCATTTGCTCAGTCAGTAATATGTGTTCAAAGTCAAATGAAATTCTGCTTGAGAAGAGGTTAATTTCACTCCTGGTTGTAAAACCGTCCTCCTACAGTGCCAAAGAGCATAGCCTCTGCATCAAATCCTCAGAAAAACACCACAGGACTTTCTAATAATGCAAGCTGGGAGCTGAGAGGCGACAGCAGTCTGCTTATCCTTGTCGCCAAACTCAGCTTTTCACCAAATGCTGCTTAAGGCATCAACAAGCATACAACAGAGTAAAATACTAATTGATTCTCTATCATTTGTTATGTAGGAAGGTAGGTGTGTGTGTCAATTTACAGGTTATCTAATCAGAAAGGTAGTAAATTCTGCTGAAGGTCTCTTCCTGGTAAAATTCTTTCCTAATGTTGCCTTTTCACAGAGGATTTAACAGCTATTGGGGTTGTCTCTCCAATAGTGTATGTCTGAAGGTTCTCACTCATCCAGGTCATCATAATCTAAGGAGGTTGGAAATAAAGGAGTCTGGACTTCTGCAAGTTTCCTGGAAGATGTTTCACCCCTCATCTGAGAAGCTTCTTCAGTTCTAAGAGCAACCGTGGGGCGACCGTGGTTCAGGGGGTTGCCGGTTCGATCCCCAGCTCTCTCTGTCCTGGTCGTTGTTTCCTTGGGCAAGACACTTTGGCCAACACCAGTAGGTGGTGGGTTAGAGGGGCTGATGGCGCGATATGGCAGCCTCGCTTCTGTCAGTCTGCCCCAGGGCAGCTGTGGCTACAACTGCCTGCACCAGTGTGTGAGATTGAATGAATAGTAGAATTGTAAAGTGCTTTGGGTGCCTAGAAAAGCGCTATATAAATGCAATCCATTATTATTATTATTATTATTATTATTATTAT